CATCAGCTCAAGTCCCCCTTTGTAACTACCCAGAGCCTGCAGAATACAGAACAAAGTGTGCTGAGTAACAGATGCATTGTTTTAAAAGTTTTTTCACTCTTATTAATAGGCCATCAAACTGATAGAAAACCAAAGTACTCTGGGTATTTCTACGTGTGACGTAGAATAATGAAACTCATGTCACTGGAGTTGTTTTGTTTTTGTCTTGGCGCCCTTATGCAGGGCTTTAAAGACAACTGATGGTAGCAATGGGATGGGGTTGCAGTATTACCAGCCCCAAGTGTCATAAATCATGAGTTAGGCGTTCCCTGAGATTGGCCTAAAACTTGAGCTTGTGTGTGATTTTTTCCCCCCTTTTAAACACTTGAGGTCTTTTTAGGATCCACTCTAACCTACCTTTTCAAGCTAGACATTTATTTAAAAAAAAAAAAATTAGTCACATGATCCAGGAGCTAGGGCTTTAAGAAAAAACACCTAAGAGCATGAGACTTGCAATACCTGTAAAATTGTAAGAGTTGGGATTCTATGCAGATATCTTACAACCTGCTATAAACAGGCTGGGAACCTCACTCTTGGTTGTACCTTACACCCGGTAAGACTGGCTCCATCTGTATAGGTACTTCTATAGTACCTGAGCACCCCACTAACATTAATGGAGTTGTCCTCACAATATCCCAGTACCAATATCTCCTTTTACTGTGCGGGGGAGGGAGAAGAGGGGGTTTGAAAGTAGGGGGGTCCAGACTGGGGGGTGGTGTTGAGATCACCCTCCTGTATAACCAAGGCTGGTGAGAACAAGTGTTTAACCCAAGTGGGGTGGTCAGGCTGCAGTCACACGCAGACACTCAGGGTGTGGCTTGCATGCTGGAAGACTGTGCGTGGTCCAAGTGGGAGCTAGTACATTAAGGCATTCTAGGCACCCATGGCTGGAGGGCAGGGGTGACACATTGGTCTAGACCGTACCCTGGTGTGAAGATACTCAGAGTGGTGGTTGCGGGTAAGGGTAGTTAAGAAGAAAAAATGGTGCCTTCTTCATTTCCTATCCCCTTTGTGCATTCAGGATGGAAAAGTTGCACCACTTCAGGGGAGGGTGGGTGAACATAGTGGTTCTCCCTCTGACACTTTAGTGTTCTTTCCTACTATCAATATCAACCCGTCACCATATCTCCCCCACACCATGAGTACATCCATAACCTCATTCATTCACCAATTGATTCTATTCCCCACTACACTCACGCCTACCACCTCCAATCTTTCCCCTCTGCCAAACCATGAAAGGTCTCTCCACGCCAACCGCTACCAGTTCAGTCTCCTCCCACCACCCTTCCTAGTTAAGCGTAGCAGCTGAGAACCACACCCTGCTAGTCTGACTCTGATCCAGCAGAAGTGCCCCAGTAGCTTCAGGTGTGACTGTACCCTGTAGTATATCAGTCCCACAGCACACTTCTCATATTGGTGTGGCTGAGCCCCCATTAGTCCTGAACCACCAGCCATGCCTGCTAACATAAGGAATGTTTTTTTTGCTTTCAAGTCTGTGCCTTTATCCATGGTGTCACAGGACTCTTTTTCTGAACTCGGCATAACCGACCCTGCTTGGGCCAACAGCAGGGTTTGAACCTGGGACCTATAAGAGTTAAAAACCATGTGCCCCTAATACTTGACATAGTGAACTAAATAGAGTAGCAGTCTCATGTAGACTAGCCACTAAAAGGTGACACTCTCTTAGCTTGGGTTCCGGATGTAATATTGTACCCATAATAATTTTGTAAACTACGCTATCTGGTTACAAAAATGTAACTATACTGTCTGCTTTGGGACAGGATAAACTGCATGGCTCCACTGCCATAATACTACAGAGATGGACACAAACAGAAGGAAACAAATGTCCAAGTGACTTCTCAACCCTAGTGCAGTTAGAATAGTAGCTGTTGCTATATGTACCATGTTGGTACATGACTTCCACATTTACTTTCAATTCATTTTGAATGGACAGAAGTTACTTTGTATCCCCTTCAGACAAAGAAGCCAAAATGATGCTTAGAGAGGTGCAATGGTCACATGCACACAACACACAACCTGTGGAACTCCTTGCCAGAGGATATCGTGAAGGCCAAGACTATAACAGGGTTAAAAAAAGAACTAGATAAGTTAATGGAGGATAGGTCCATCAATGGCTATTAGCCAGGATGGGCAGGGATGGTGTCCCTAGCCTCTGTTTGCCACAAGCTGGGAATGGGCGACAGGGGATGGATCACTTGATGATTACGTGTTCTGTTCATTTCCTCTGGAGCACCTGGCATTGGCCACTGTCGGAAGACAGGATACTGGGCTAGCTGGACCTTTGGTCTGACCCCGTATGGCTGTTCTTATGCCAGACTGGACACAACACCATTCTCTAAAATAGCTATTTGCTGATTAGATCCCTCTGTAATGTAACTGACCGGCTCTGAAGAGGTCCTGCACATATACAGGAGTCCTGCCATATTACAATAAAATATTGTAATGCTGTGAACCTGGTCTATCTGTTATAAAAAACTTTCTTATCAGTGGGGCAGGAGGACCCCAACATTCAGTTTCTAATCCTTTTCAAAGGCCAGTGCTTGGTGCCAGGGCCTGCTCGATAGAGGCTACTGTGTCGGCTACAGAACTCTCTGCCAACACGATTTGAATGATTACTAAAGATTAAAGGCTAGCACATTCTCACATCTATATTAATTATTAAGGCACCATGCAGAGCACTGTAATTGGCTCCTGTAAACTAGTACAGTGCTGACTTTATAGGGTAAGATTATGGGAGAATTTTGATGGTCATTAGAAAAGACTTCTGGTTCTGTTTGGGGGTAGCGGTTTCTCATAGGATTGGAAGAAAACAATAGGAAAAAATACACATCCCTGGAAACAGCGCAATAGTTCTACATTCCCATGGTCCCAACAGCCTGAAATTAAACACTGACACAGTACGAGGCTGAAGAGCTAGGAAAAAAATCAAGCCTGTCCAATCTGCCACTCCTAGAAGTGTCAATAATATGTCCCAGTCTGTTAGCAGGCCAGCATTATTGTAATAATATGTCTTTGTGGGGCTTTAGCACAGCGTCTCCTTTCTCTCTCTTCCTTCAATAATCTTTTCTTCAGTCATTTAGAAAATGGATAATCTCAGTACAAGGCCCCATCCCGCAGTCCTTAATTGCGACATTGACAGCCCAAGTCTGTCACTCTATCCACTTGTACAGTACCTTGCCCCATTCACCTCAATCACATACGGTAAGGACATTAAAATATGGCCACAAGTTAGAGACAACACATAGGACAACATGTCAAGTAAGACAAAGCATGGGGACTAACAATAAGAAGGAAGTGAGAATGATTTAGATGTGGCTTCATAGAAGGAATTTGAAAACAAGCAGGTGCTGTGGCAGAAGATGACAGGGAAATGGGGGGCCAAGCAAGGGATTGATGCAGGCACCACTACAGGATGACTTTGAAATGATGTAGATATTCTAAAAAGGGGGCAAAAGTAAGAATCAGAGAGGAGAAGGTTACAGACCAGTGAAGGCAAACCAAGGTGTGAATGAGGCTCAGTACCACAATGGATTGTGAAGAAAACCAGAAACAGGAGTGTAGGTAGCAGAAGGGGAAAATGATTACATAGATTGTAAACTCTCTGGAGGGAGAGGGACTGTCTTTTTTTATTCGTCACTATACCAATGCATACCGCAACGGGGTCCTAATCTGTAAGTGGGGTATCTATGCATTACTGCAATACATATAATTCGTAAAGGGATGGAGGAGATTACATTAAAGTTTGTGAGTTTCCCTTGATCTCGGGGATGTTTGGTCTCAGAAGGGACTGAAGGATTGAGGTCAGGTTGTATTTCTGAAAGAATGAATATCACACCATCCACACCACTATTAAATTGTCAGTCAAGTTTAATGCATCATAAAGAAGTAAAACTACATTGGCATATTTAAGACAAACACTTTTTTTCTATGCACACTATCCACTGGACAGTCCCCTTTTCAAAATAACTACTTTTAACAGTCCAAGACACGTCTTCAGAAATTCTTCACATGTTCAACCTTCCATATTTTCCTTTTTTTAATTTGTCTGAGAAGAAAAAAAAACATTAAACCTGAAAACACTTACATTGCAAGCCACATTAGAATGCATAATTGGCATACAATAATCAATGTATAACAATTGTGTTTTACTTAGTTCACTTTGTTCATCAATAAAAGAATATAAAAATCTTGTTCAACTGAGTGTTAAGTGTATTAAAATAGATTTGTATAGTACTGCACAGTTTCTCCCGGAGTTGTGAAAATGGTTGAAGGGACCATGTGCTGCCTAGTGATGGGCAACTGAAAAGGCCAGTCCCTCATTTTTAAAAAAATGACATTCGGCACCATGTCATATGCTGATGTGAGAGACTAGCTGTGTGTCATGCTCTAGTGGTTCCTTGCTTTTTGTTTTGTTTCATACCTGTTGTGCTAAGTAACTAAAGGATCGAAGAATGGAATCAGTGGTTGTGTGAAACTCTGCATTGTTAGAGGAAAAGGGGTTGCCCATCACTAACTTCCGAGGTAGGCCTCAGGATTACAGGACAGGCCTGTGGCCTACTAAGGCGCCAGACTGACCCTTGTAGCATCAGGAAGACTTGCTAGTGAAACAAGCAGGAGCTCTAGGATTTTCTCAGACTAATGCTAAACATTTTCAAATGTGTTACAAATCAACAAAATTTAAAAAGGAATTAAGTTTCCAAAAACCCAGCAAACCCTTAATTTTCCACAGTCCAACTCTCCCCCTAAATTCTTGCTATTATCCAATATGACAAACAACCCCTTGAGGCAGTTTTTTTTTCCTGTACCATTTTTGCAGATATTCCTGCAAACAAACAAAAACCCCACCAGCTTTTTTCCATGTTACCTATTTTTACAATAAAAATGCAGTACAAAAATGTAAAATTATTTTTTGGCATATTATCTGTACTGGCAAGAAAAGAAAAACAATCTTTATTTGCTTTTATTAAAAAAAAAAAAAAGTTCAAAACATAACCAAAAAAACCCAAAAAAACGAACCCAACCTGCCAAAGCTATCCACTATATGGTTTATGCTAAATCTTGCACAAAAACTCCATGAGAAAAATACATCAATAGCAAAATAAGTAAAAAGGACCTGCAAAAAAGTAAGGAGTTTTACAGTCATACCTCTTTAAATACTTCAGAACGCATATACAGAAGCATCAGCATGAAAATACTTCAATATTTTACTAGAAACGCTAACTTCATACAGTTTATTATTTAAATATCTGCAATTCAGCTATAATACTGAAAAAAATGATCTTTTTGTTTTAAAGGCTCTGTGAGCGTCCATGACGTCATTCTTGTCAAACAGCCCATCTTCAGTTCACCTGAATCAGCGAGGCAGACCTTGGTCACTTTGCTAAGAATCCATGTCAAGTCCTAAGTAGTTCCGGCTCTTTTTATATTACCAGTTTCCTCCCTCAAACAGCTTTAAGCCCAGCTACCTCCCTACTAGTTTACTAACTCTTTGTATTTAAAATTTTTCCCTTTAAAGCAAACTTGTAAAATTGTCTGCCCTCCAAAAAGGATACTTCACTTTCTATCAGCCATACTATTTCTTCTCCTTCTTATTCATAAATACATTAAGGCCAACATAACAAAACAAATCTCATAAGCACTGAAGGTCTTGGCAAATACAAAACTGCAGCAAAATCTGCTCTGTGGGAAGTTGCTGCCACAGTGACCTACAAACTGGACTGATTGGCTTAAGTTCTACATGTGTAAAAAATGAGATTGTTTTTTGTTTCCTTCATTTCCCGTTGTTTCGGTTTAATCTCTCCTTTGCGCATGTATAAAGTTTTTTTTTTTTCCATTTTCCCCAGACAGCTCTGTCAGTTGTTACCCTGTGATTGCTGCAAGGCTTTGTGCATGGCAGCAGAGGCAGATGAGGGTTTGATCCAGGGGACAGTTAGCAGGGAGGAGGTGGTGGTTGTCGTCATGGTAACCTGAATCATCTGCTCATTTTGTATCAGTCTAATGAGAGTTTTGAGACGTTCCAGCGATGACTGAGTCCCTTTCTGCTGGGCCAACAGGCTGTTTTTTAGCTCTAAGCATTTCTGTTAGAGAGAGAGATGGAGAGACTGAGAATACATTCAAATTGGCATCAAACATCCCCCCAAACATGCTTTACATGTCTGGAGAACATGTCCATCTCAAACGAATTACGTTCTCCTTTGGGGATAGCAGAAACGCAAGCATAATTAATGGAGTAATACCCACTGGTGCATATAGTGCATCACTTGTCTTAGCAACAATATTCATCTAAGATCAAGTATATACTGAGGGCACTTTTGACCATATCCTGTTGAAAGACAGGAAGAATACATGATCGCGTGATGGCGGTCTACAGATTTTGTTGGCATGGGTTTACAATGGCCACATTACTCAAAAGTGGCAAAGCCATCAGTAAGCACTGTAAGTCTTCCCAAATGACTTCAGTAAAACCTTCAGGTCAAACTACACTCTGATGTGTTTTGTATGTGGCCCATATTTACAGTCCATTTTAGGGAGATTAAATAAAGTGGTGTTTGTTTTAAATCCGTTTACTTAAAGCCAGGCAACTTAGTAACAAGGATGCCAGTAACAACTTCTAAAGACAACCTCAAATATTTTTCAGGTATAAAATGTTAGTTTAAGGGCCACTATTTAATGTTCTACCATGGCTAGAAACAGAAGCCTTATCCTACTGGGAAGGGTATTTCTGGCTTTTAATGGATGAAAGTTCCTGTTTCTCTCTCCAATAGGTCATGAAACCCAAACCAGTTACTGGTCCAGGTCTGCATATTGTCTCTCATGGGCCTTGGTCCAGAATAGTTTTAGGGGAGAACATTCTGCAGTTCTTGGGAAGCAGGAAACACTTACTTGACTTTTTTTTTTTTTTTTTTAAGGTAGCTGTTCAGAGGTTTGGGATTTTGGAATAAGCCTGGGGGGGATGGATTAGAGGGCAGGTGAAGTAGTCCCAGGTGAATAATAAATGCATGGGTCTGCAATTTATAACAATATCACAGTCACACATGGTGTGTATGGGGTTTTCCACTTAATTCAATTGGTAATTTACTTTTTTAGTTAATCTAAACCTCAGGAACCAAACATCTTTGATTGGATAAATATTATCAGAGGCCAAAATTGCCATTTAAGAGAGAATGCTTCCCACTCAAAGGGCCTAATTCTGCTTCTGCACCACTCCCATTGACTTCAATAGCAATTATTTTTATACATATATATACACACACACACACGGTAGTTGAATCTAGCCCAAACTCTCTTTCATTCTGAAATTGCTAATCCAATTTCATTTCTCTAACCACTAGAGAACACTCCACCCCACAGAGACCTGTCTCCGTGCATGTGTTAGTTTCCATTAGAGCTGATGGTGGTTATGTACAGTTAAAGAGAGTACTTCCCACTGTGATGTCTTTTAATAAGTTATTACTTTTCTTTCCAGTCTGTTTTAAATGTGATAAAATATTTAACATGCCTCTCCTGGATAACTGCAATGGTAGAGCAAGTACTGACCAGTTACTGTTGCAGCTGCCACTTTAATTTTCCAGGATAGAGAAGATTAAAATATGTAGTTACACCATATTACAAACATACAAGCAAATTCTTAGTAGTAGTAGTTCTATAGTTTGGGGGCGGGGTTGTGGTCAAATAGCCATGCCTTAAGTAAGTCCTTACAACTACTGGCAACTAGGAATTTAGGTTCTGAACTCGGGCTAACACTCTTTAGAGTGGCAGGGACTGGTAGAAGTAGTGTACACGCATACCTGGAATCACGTTATGCTTGGTGACCCCATCTAGCAACACTTGGTTCTAGTTCTTGTAGGAGATGCCAAGAACACTACTGTGATACTAGACCTTTTGAGAGTGGTGATGATGGTCTTACCTGCCTAACCTCATGCTTTTGGACTGATACACAGACTCTTGGCACTGGAGCAGCTGGTCATGCACAGATCTTTCTTATGAAAGATGGGAAGTGCTATACTGTATTTCTATAGCTCTGACTTGTGTATAGAATGGGACAGAGGATATGTTTAATTTTGTTTTCTCATTTGAGTGGGGAAGCGCTCCAATAACAGATCTGCCACTGCCTCCTTCTGCTCCTCAACCTGCCAGTGTATCTTGCTCACTCCCCACAAAGAGACCCCCATATATGTTTCTTTGTAAAGAAACTATTCACACTTGAGCATGAATAGTTTGTGAGCATAACTCATTTCCCAGCCATCAAATCTCAGTTTTTCAAGCATAAGCGCTTTATAACCAATTCTGTAGGAGACATTATGCCCCAGTCTGGAGTCTTACTTTAACCGCATTGTTGAGAAGTCTCTCTTTCTCTTCCAACTGCCTATGTTCGCTCTTCAGCTCGCTGCCTTTCTTTAATAATTTTCTCTTCTCTTCTTCTTTGACTGTAGAACAATAATGTTTAGAATGTAAATGTTAAGATACAGACTGAAAAAATGGTCTGCACTGACTCATGAGACTAGGATTAAGTGTTCTAGATAGAGCACTCCATAGGTCTACCCAATCCCATCTCAAAATGCATAGCCAGAGAAGCTGAGTTTCCAGTTGCACATAAGACAACTCTCTATCACTTTTGAAATGGTTCAAGTACAGGACAGACATTATTCCACAACACACCTTTGAGGTGGATAGAGAATCCCTATTTTATAGATAGGGAAACTAAGGCAAAGAGATTAAATTACCTGCTCAGGGCTACACAAATTCATTTAAGGAGATTTCCTCTCACAAATGCTAGGTACACAGTTTCAGACAGTCATGTCTTTATTAAATCAAAACCAATACTTTTTAAAGCAAAGGCACTAGTTCTTATCAAAGACTATGTTCACACCAAGTTTCATGTTTTTAGTCATAAGCAATTTTTACACTGGCCTTGCACTTTAAAGTGTAATTAGAATTAGAGCTTCTCTTAAAATGTTTGCAAACAGTAAATTTGCCAAAAAATGCATTTTTTTGACAAATTTGACAAAAAGTGCAAATTTGTGAATTGGGGTCAAATTTAGTGAACAGTTTTGGTCGAAAAAAAGGAAAACAAAAATTTAGAAAATGGCTAAAAGGTTGTTTTGAAAAAAAATCAAAACTGTTTCAAGACAAAGTACTGAATGGAAATGGCCGGTTTCTAAATGAAATGTCAAATCAGAACAATTTGACATTTTTGAATAGACATTCAAAAGGTTTTATTATTAATTGTTCAGATTTGTCTCCAATTTGAAAAAAATGTATGTTTTTGTCTCTTCCAAAGTTTTTTTCTTTTCTTTCAAACTTTTTAAAAGAACAAATTAATCTTCAATCCATGACAGAACATGGAAAACTTCAGCTGAAAGGTGAATGTTACAGAAAATTATGTGTGTGAGAACAGGGGGCTGGGATGAAAAGCATTTAGTAATACTGACTGGCAGGCACTACCATTGATCTTATGGAGCTTTAGCTCTTCCACGCATCTTGCTAACATGAATTTATGCCCTCTGAGTTAGACAGTCACTCCCATTTTAAAGGTGAAACTGGGGACTAGAGAGCCTCTTATCAGGAATCACGCCATTCTGTACCTGTTTTATGAGTAACATAGGAATGAACAATAGCCAGAGTTCCAGTCCATGGCACATTTTCATCTTTCTTTAATACCTATAAATCCAGGGAACAACAAAAATTAGTAATCCACAAAGAGACACACACATACAATTCATGTCTTCCCACTCACCTCACAAAAAAAACTTTACTATTACAAAAAATGGTATAATTGGAATTGTAAGTTGTAAACTGAAATGCAGTGGAAAAATTCTGTAACTTTTATTTTACTTCACTGTAAACAGTGTCACTACATAATTGCTAGGATGGGGTTTTCAAATCTCACACTTGATCACCACCAAAAGGAATTATTCTCCAGCCCCTTTCATACAGGCTTACACAATTTCCAGGAGAGTTAGAGGTATTTTGCCTACCTATTAGGTACAGGCCACCACTGGAGATAGAATACTGGACTTGATAGAGAAGAGAAGATAGGCTGGTTCCACTAAATGTAAATACAGACCAGCAATTCTCTTTGACATTTCCAAAGAAACTAAATAGTAATTTTTCCTAGGGGCTAAAGCAGAGAATTCTAAGGAACAAAAATTAAGCCCGCTCATTCTAAAATTTAGCAACATTGTTTTACAGTTCTTACAGACCTGGTGCTAATCATTTGGCTTGTGTGAACACTGTTAGAATTGCATTTCTAAAATGGTTATCAGTAGCTGCATATAATAAATCTTATAAAGAAGATGGTGTACTCTCCTTCCAACCTTCAGATCCTCTGGTGCATTGTCTGTGCATGACACTGTCTCCTCCGTCTGCAAGAACTACATTACTTGCTTTGCAATTGTACGTACAGGTGGTTTTTATATAAGAAAAACGTAAAGGAAATGAACAGCCATTTTTAATCTTTCAGCGTAAATCTTGAGGGATGCAATACCATGAAATCAAGAAGGGAAAAAATGTAAGGTATGAGACCAATGCTGTAAAACTACCAGGCAACAAAAAAAGCAAATTACCGAAGAAACTTCAATGCAGTAGAATCTCAGCGTTACGGACACCTTGGGAATGGAGGTGGTGTCCGTAACTCTGACATGTTTGTAACTATGAACAAAGTGCCGTTCAGGCTCCAGATCCAGCAGCTGACACTTCAGGCCAGGCTCCAGCAGCAGCTGAGCTCCCTACTCAGCACTGGCAGCTTCCTTCCCTGGGTTGGACTGAGTTTGCAAGCTTGTCCCCCTCCCGGCTGTGTGTGTGAGTGAGAAAATAGCGTGTCCCACTCCCGGCCTGTGAAGGGGGTGTGTGTGGTAAAAACAGTGCATCCCCCTCCCGGTGAGGGAAGAGGGAGAAGGGGTGAAAGTGGCGCAGACCCCAGCACTGCTCCTGCTCTGTTGGCTCCGGCTGCCTTAGGCTGGCAGCCCCAGCTTCATCACCTCCTAGCTGTAAGTGGCTGCCCAGCACATGGGGAAGAGGTGGGGACAGGCAGCCCAGATGTACCTACTTTTAAGATGCAATATAGGCACAGTACATTACTTGACCTTTTTTTAGTCTTTGCTGCTGCCTAATTGGTTACTTCCGGTTTCACATGATGTCTGGTTGACTGGCCAGTCCGTAACTCTGGTGTTTGTATCTTTGAGCTTTTACTGTATTACTTTTGATAATCTTGTCTCCTTAGCTAGTATTGTAGGCTGAAACAGCCTCTAGAATTATGATGTGCAAACTCACTCTCTTTTTTCTTTTCTTGGAATGACTGTAATACACATGCCTCAACTCACTTACCTTTTGTTGGCACTTTGGGCAGGCCCAAACCCCTTTGGGGACAGTTTTCAGAGGAGGGTCCAAGCAATTGAGATGATATGCTCTTGGACATGTGCCACATGGTTGCAAGTTAATGCCACGCTTACATGCTGTACAGTGTTCATCGTGGTGAATTTCATTCTGAAAGAGAAGAAAAGGGTAGGTTGGGTCAAGTCAACTCTTAATGTAACTTTCCACGAGCAGCACTTGGAGCCACTACTTTACTAGACAGACCGTTCAAACACAATATCTCATTTTCAAAAGCTTCCTGGCTGCTGGAGAAGGAAGACAAACAATTTTGTACTCATCAACAACAAACGAGCAAAATTCAATGAGTTGAAACAAATAGAAAAAATGTGAAATAATCAAACAATCACACAGACAGCAATCAAACACAGATATGAATCAACTAATGTTTCCAGCCTGCAATGTTATAATTATTCCACTCTGTTTCTGGGAATGTGTCACTGTCACTTCCAACACACATATATCACCAGGTGCAGTTCTATTTTGATGAGTGGGCCAATGTCATTATGTGGCTCACTTGTCCTTCAAGTCCCCAGTAAAAGCAAGTAAGCAAAAGTTTCTGGGGGGAAAAAAGCACAGTTCCAAATCTTATGCACATCGCCTTGAAGAGCAGGTAGGGAAACAAGTATGAATACAACTTTCTCCCACGTGCCCCCTCACAAATTTCCTGTAGAGGGCCCCCATCCCTCTCTTCTCTATCTTGTTAATTATTGTTTTCTGATTTAAACCACACAGATCCACTATGACAACCTTTCTCAAATAAGACTGATTAGTACTTTATCTGCAGTTCATTTTATATATTGCTAAGTCTCATTAACAAAGTTACAATGTCATGTAGTAAATTGCTATGCTAATCTGGTGGCAATGTAAATTACTCTTCATATAATTAAGTACATTTTAATAAAAGGGAGACTGATTTTGGAGCTCTCATGGTTTGTGAATCATTACACAAAAACCTCAATTTTCCTACTAGTTTTCGAGGAAAAAAAGTGATTTATTGAAATAAATGTATTCTATAATCATGTTTTCATCTTTCAGAATATCATTTTTACAAAATTTCATGTCAGCTTTATACAGTATCATATCCTAAACTCAAAATTACTGTTGTCCAAAATGCCTCTCCAAAAATGTCAATATTAGAAAGCACTATTAAAAATGTCTAGATTTTAACCTTAAAGAGAGAGATCTACTCAAGTAGAACAGTTAATATTTTTCCTAGATGTTTATTAATACCACAAAGCTAAACCAGCATTTTCTCAATCAATGGATTCTACAAAGTATTAAATTCAAACCTGTGAACATGAAAGCACACAAGTTCAACTTGTTCTGAAATTCTGTTTTAATGGCTCAAAGATTTAGGTAAACTGGAGAGATTCCAGAAATGGTAGGAAAAAAGGGAAAGAAAATATTGCAATTTTGTACCCTGGCAGAGACTACAATAATTAACAGCAAGCACTGTATTACATGATGATGAGACAGACAGTGGTAATATACAAATCTTGCTAAACATACCTTCCAACATGGATCCTCATTTGCTAGCACATGAAAGAAGGGCAGAGAACAAGTTAGTGGGCAACACATCAGTGCAATGAATTTTAGTCAAGCCATGACACAAGTGATGAAAGAAGGGAGGGGGGGGGAGGATTATAGCCAGTTATTTTAATGTGGACATGAGAGAGCGACACTTGAAATAGCACCAATGAATATTTTAGTATTCAGAGCTGCATGTTATTTAGGTTTTAGGAATTGGGCACCTGAAACTCTAAATGCTGAAGATGTTAAAAAATTTCATAGTACCAAAAGGTTGATGTCTGTCGTAAACATCCAGTGGATAGGACCTGTCCAGGCTTAACTAGATAGGAAATAAATCTTCTTTAAGGGTTTGACTCTTTCAAGGCCGAACACTCTGGCCCCCAACCAGCAGAGCACTTAAGCAGGTGCTTACCTTTTCAGTACAGGAGTAGTCCCATTGACTTACAGTTAAGCATGTGTTTAAGTGCTTTTCTGACTCATGGCTAGAATGCTCAACACCTTGCAGGATCAGGCATTATATTATCATCAACCCTTCAACATGAGAATCGCTCATATCAAAAATGTGTGTCATGTTTTGGTCTATTGCTTAAATGACTCTTTAATGGTTGTAGCCCAAGCCTGATGGAAGGAGTAGTTAGAGGTGGTTGAAAAACACACTGCATTTTTCAAGAAACTGTTTGGAAAAAATTCATTCTTTAAATTTTTTTTTCACAAAAGCAAGTCTGTAATTTCCATTGCTGAGTCACAAAACACTTGGGCAGAATGCCTCACTGAAAAGCCCTAGAATGTCTCTCCTCCGCTCCTGTAAGTCAGCTGATGGAGTAGTCTTTCTTTGGGTTAGGGAGATGGAAGTGAGGTGGAAACTTCTTTCTTGTGCTCCTTTTCTGATCACACATTATCTGGTGTGTGTTTACATACATCTGGCAGACAGAATTTGATCCACATGCCCAAAGCACCACCTGTATGCATGCGCGCACACACGGAGCACAGTGAAACTATGATTATTCAGATCAACGGGGGACATGAAAGTTATCCAGATAAGCAGAGGCGTGGATAATTGGAGAGTTTTTTGATATAGGCGATGCACATCAGGGACATGACCTCATTTCAGCTAAGAGATTTTTCCCAATAAACAAACTCTGAATAATTGACATTTCACCGAGAATATCACAAGCACCATTCTCGCCTACATTTTTTGTAAAGGAAGAGCTGTTTCCTGCACACAGTTTTCTTTAACAAATATACAATGCTTTTCAAAAATAAATAAATCCTTTTTGGTTTGCATTTGTCAATAAAGTTGGCCTACTCTAAGTGTCCACTTTTTCCTCTTCTACCTGCTGAAATGACCTAAACGGAGAATTATTTTTAAAGGGAGGACGGTATAATAAGCAAGGTGGTAAGCTACGCAATGAAGACAATTAGATTAGAGTGTAAGTTCTTTGGGACAGGGGCTGTCTTGTTTTTCTGTGTTTGTACAGAGGCTAGCACAATGGGGTCCATCACTGGGGCTCCTAGGTGATATCACAATACAAATATACAATAACTAAAGCTGTGAGCTATGTAATGAAGACAGACAATGGAGAGATTGTTCAGCACAGCAACAGGGATTTTAGGTATTAGGAAGAATAGTTATAGGGCTTACTAAAATAACTAACAATTAAGGTAAAACAGTGTCATATCCCAAGCAGTTTTGTGACAGTCATGCCACTGAAGCTTTGTCACCTGTCTAAAAACATGGACACACAGAGGAAACAAGGACATTTACTGGGGGTCTGAGAGTAACCTAGCTAATGTTCTCTCTAGGCATGTGTTTACAGGGAAACATAGGCATCAATTTTAAGTTGTATAAGAAGAGTAAGGAAAATTTGATATCAGCAACATAAGAAGAAAAGACCAAAGCAGGTCACAACTTTGCATCTGTATTAAAATGGCACTTTTAATTGCGCCTTAATACTTACAAATAAATTTTTATTGTTGAAAAAGGATAAAAGTACCTCTAAAGTACTACAGTGTGCATTTACAGTAGAATCTAAGTTGTAGCAGCTGCATCGGGGAAAGAAATATTCACATCTCTTTACAGTCTTCCTCTCCTCTTCTGCAATGTATTCAAGCCTCTCATCCTCAGTTCTACACAGCACTGTCCCCCCTACAATGCAATTTTTGTTCCCTTCTATGCTCTGTTTAATCCTCTCTCCTCAACTTTCCCTCTTTCCACTCTCGGTTCTGTGCCTTTTCTCACGCTGCACCTTATGCCTGCCACTTATTCCTTCTTCCCATGAGCTATTACTTTTCTTCTCCAAATTTCTCTCAGTGTTGCCAACTTGTTTTTATCATGAAATCTTACAAAAATGTGGTGTTTTCCTTAAAGCTCCAGCTCCTGGACTCATTAAGTACGTGAGAATTTCACTTTTTCTTTGAAAACTAAGTTTCTAGCTCTCATAGTTATAGAGTACAGCTGGAAAATGTGAATCCTAAAAGCTGAAAACCAGAGATAAATTAAAAGATCCCCTAATTTATTTTTTTAATCTAATCCCATAGTTTTTGAACATTTGGGATTGGCAATACTGCCTCCTTAACATCTTCTTTTTCTCTACAACATTAGAAACCTGATCTTCCACTGATTTCCCAGGGCTTTGGGGGATCAGGCTCTATATCCTTATGACCCCTTAACTTTAACTTTTGTTTTGCTGTGTAACCATCTATGCATCTATGTATAGCTATGCAGCCTATGGTACTCTAGAAGTAATTAATAACAAATACAACTAATAAATATTTAATACCACATCATAATAGCAATGTATTCATTTAAAAAATACTTACCTCTCGCTGAAAGGAACAAGGGGTTATTCAAATAATTTGATGCAAGGCGTTTCCGCTGCAAAGGGAGAGAAAAGAAGCCATACTGTCATCTCAAGAGCTCTGGCTCTCTTATGCTTTTCTACCATCAGTCTCTAAGGAATTTCCTTCATGCATAAACAGTACTCAAAAAGCTAATTCTGAGAGGCAGAATATAGGCTGCTTAAGGCTCCTCAGATGGTCAACTAAGCCATATACAGCTGCATTATTCATCTTCTAGCAAGGTTTTTATAGACCAACTTTATTAGATTTTATTAACAAGCGGTAAATGAAAATTACCAACATTATTGATTGGGCTTCAGGAGTGGTTCCTGGGGTCTGTAAACAGTACTAAAAAACCTGGCATCCAAACAACATTTATCATAAACCAATATGTACTAAATTGTTGCTGCAAGACAACACTTTTATTAGTGTCAATAGAATTGGTGATGAACTTCCCACAGGAGGGGGAAAGAAGTCACCACTTTGTGTGACAATTATCTGCATTTGATACAAGTAAATTTTGATTGCAAGCTGTACACAAAGGCCTTGGGAAAATATTTCCCCCCAAACATTAATGTGTACTGCCTTTAGGGTGTCAGAGGTCATTTCAGTCTGAGAGAATTTCAAACCTATGGACACCTGTTCACTAGGAACTTGACTGAGACAACCAAATAACATCCCAGCCAGTTACCAGATGATAACAGCTATTGGTCACTAGAAACCTGGGTTCGTAATCTAGAGAATAAAGGTCTCCATCCGCCGTAGATGCTTTCCTGACCCATCCAGTTCCTGTGCTGTGAGATTGCAAAGAGTGCTGTACTCCTCCAATATATGTTGTTGAATTCAGGAAAATCAGAGTTTTCTTTCTAACAAATGATTTATTCAGCGGTTAGTAAACTGCTCTCTAATGTCATGCTCTTCAGAATACATGAATGTCTGGATGGCTAATGAATTTTCAGCTGACATCTGTTCCTTCAGAAAACATTCAGCCTGAAACACAGCCTTCCTTCTGTTTTAAAAAATATACTACCCAGGATGGAAGAATGGAATAATTTCTTAACAGCATAAAACCCCCAAACATGCTTCTGGGCAGAGATTTAGCTGCAGAAACAGAAGTCCAATTTGAAACAGCAACTGCATATTCACAATCCAGGAGGTTAACAGCACAATGAAGCACATTTTCTTGGCTCCTGCAGTTTGGTGGAGGGGGCAAGTAAGAAGTGTAATTTATATGCAATTTCAATTTAAACAATCATGAATTAAAGATCATCCACTAGATCAGTTGTAAATTAAACTGCACCAAAATGCCTGAAAAATGCCACAAAATACCTCAGCTCACTGATCAGTAAATCAATCTGCGAAGCTAATTGATTGGAGGAAAACCGTCTGCTTCCATTTTATTTGAATGACATTCCCTATGGTCAGTCCTTAATGACAGCTCTTAATGAGGAAAGAGCTGGTCAGCCACATGAATCTCTCATTTTAAGATTCTTTCTACATGCTATTCTTCACTTCAGGATATACTTTTGAGAATAAGTCTAATAAGAACCAAGAACTAGGATATGATAAATGTATTAACCTCCTCATCAACCCTATACAATTTAGTTTCTCAAAAATACTCCTCAGATTAGGACCAAAAAAACCATGCAACATACATTTTAAACAATCCAGTAGTAGTAAACTTCAAGCCAAATGGACCTTATATAAGACAACACAAATAAAATACAAATAATACTGAGGTCCCTATTGTGCTGGGCACTATATGTACATATAGCAGGAGACAGTCCTTACCCTGAAGAGCTCACAGTTTGAATTAATAAGATAGAAAAGGTGGGGAAAAGGAAGCATCAACATTCCCCATCTGTAAAATAGGGATAACTGAGGCAGAAAGAGATTAAGCGATTTGCCCAAGGTTACAAAGCAAGTCTGTGGGGGCAAGAATGGGAATAGAATTCAGGTCTCCTGAAACCCACTCCACTGCCGTAAACCGCAAGACCAACCTTCCTCACAGATAAGTCACTCAACAACCCATTTACATTCTGCCTACCAGTTCCCTTCTCTCAACAATCAGCTACCTCCCCTCTACCACATTGGCCAAAATAACCGGAAATCTCAAAAAGTTGGTTTTGCCAAGAGTCTGTATTGCTGATAACTTGTTAAGCAAAATCCATGTCCTTTGGCTTATGGCACACAGGAAAAACTAATAAATGTTGCTTATATGTAGAGCTTGCCAGAAACCATTATTTCCATTCTATGTGAGATTTCAATTTTTTTTATTCTGAATTTCAACTGAACGGTAAAATTTCCAAATTCCCTGTGGAACAAAGATTCTGAAAAATTTTAATTGAAAACTATCATAACATTTTGTTTAGATAATGTCTAATAGCTTCCTTGTCAACATATTTCATTTTAGTATGATAAAAAATTATATAATTCATTTTGTTAACTTTTATTACATTAAAATATTAATTTTAATGATATAAAAGTAAATCTACATGATAGGTGAAATGCTTTTAACCTTTTCAAAATATTTTACCATTATCAGAACAAAATCAGAAAGTGAAAATGTACTTTTTTTTTTTAAACAACCCAAGCTTTGGATCCAATGCTAGACTAGGGTCAAATTTTGTTACACCTCCGAAATCTCATTTGTGTGAATATGGTAGTACTGGAATAAAAGAGCAGAAGTTAGATGTCAGGGTTTCACTTCAGAGTTCCTTTACTATCAACAGGACCCATAGGCACATTAGTTAATAACTGCTCATGAAAGGGCTAGATTGTCTTCTCTGCTTTTTCACTGACAAGTATTACATGTGTAGCAGCAGTGCAAGTTTCAACTCACTGACCCATCACTGTTCTTCAGTCCTGACCTGGAAAGACCATTCTCTATGGGAAAGAGAGTAATTAGGTCCCATGTTTATTTAGCCTTTTTTGGCCTCTGCTCAGACCATCAACAAGGGTTCCAGTTAGAGCCAAATGATGTTCTGATGTGAAAAGCTGTTGCCTAGAAACTGAGATAAAACATGTTTCATACCCCCTCCCCCATCAATCTCTCTTTTAAGTAGATGAGGTTCCTCATTCATATGTACTTTTGCAATAAGAAGTACTTAAGCCTTTTATTGGCATAGAATAGAACTGTGTTTAAAAAGTGAATGATAAAGTACCTCAGTTTCCAAGAGTCCGCTATAGGCTGGATTTGCTGTGCTTCTTCTCTTTCTTTCCTGACGCTTGCTCTGGATTTCTGTAACCATGGAAAGAAAAGTTCATTGTGTGTTTTTCATTCATCGGGGAAAAATGTAGATCTAACTTGTTAAGCAAGATGCTCTTGCCCCCAATGCCTTGGGCATTGTGTTCAGTTTCAGTTTCTACAGTATAATTGGGTTGCCTCAGCATTGATAGTTGCTGCAGTTCAAGGTCTGATATTACTAAGCCTTTCTTATAAAATTCAAACACAGGCACTTTTATTTCATCTTCCTCCAAAATAGGCTTGCTCTGCACTAAAAGATTTTATTATGATCCCTTCAGAAACATTTAGAAAGCACCATCAGATGGCTTTCAAAACACTACCAATATCTGTTATTTTAAAAAAAGAGCATATCAAACATATATCCCTTGCAAGTTGTGTCAAGTAAAAATCACAGGGATATTTTGAAATTTTACTTTATACTGGTTTTGTTTTCCTCAGGTTAGGAGGGTGATGAAAATCAGGATCATAATAAGAAGCTAAATTCAATCTTAACTATGGACTGATAATTTGTCTGTCCATAGTATACAACAATATTATGTTCTTGTGCATAGAATGCAGTATCTTTGTTATTGGCAGAGGCAGAAGTAAGGTCTTCTAAGGTCATCATCATAATTGGAACTCCAGATGCACCGAATCACAGTCCTGTTTAGAAGTAGGGAAACACAGGAAAACTCTTGTTTTCCTACACTAAAAGGGATTTAGGACTAACATTGGCTGTGAAAAGTAATGCGGTATGTAATCTCTGTATGTAGATAGGGTAAAATCCTGACCCCATTGAATTAATAGGGCCAGGATTTCACCTGGTGTATTTCACTTTATTCTTTGCAAACTGCTTGTGAAAATGGAGAAAGATGTTTATTATGTCAGTGTATTTTACAGCTTTCATTTTTCAAATCGACTAGTAATCTTGGATGCACCATTTCTGGGGACTCAGCACTTTCTGAAAATCAGGCTCCTGAAACGTGTCAAGTTGGATACTGAAAATCACTAGTCACTTCTGGAAAAACTGAGGCTTACATACACTATCTTTTCTCATTGTTAGTCCTGGTGAAAAATGCTAGAGACTGAAGTCTATGTATTTACAGGCAGCAGCTGTGCAAACTTTTCCTCAATGTCATGATATCATGACCATAAGAGGTTACCTCTAGTAGCAAGAAATTAGTTCACCCCAAATGCCCATCCAGCCTTTGGCTTTAGCTGAGGTTGCCAACAAGTGTGCTGGAGGTTTTGTTGATGTGGACACTCATTCAGTAGGAACTGGATTGAGAAAACTAAGCTCAAATCCCCCACGGGGCATGCCCAGTCACCAGATTGTAACAACTTTTTGTCATTGATGCTGGATCCAGGATGCACGCTGGTGACCCACTCTGGTGAAATGTTTGGTTCTCGCCACCAATGCCACAAGTATGTATGTATGTATATTTATTTTTTTAAAGAAAAAGCAAAAAAGAAATACTTTATGTGAGTGTCATACATCAGCAACACATTCATTGGAAATCAGCTTTGTCCCCAGGGAAGCATCAGTCCACTACCACCATCACCAATTAACATCTCTTGTAAATTGGTCTATGCAGCCTATATTGACAATGTATCCTGAGTGACATGTACCTCTTACAAAAATCCAACACAAGGTTCGTGTGTTCCATTTACTACTTAAACCCTCAAAAGAGGGTGCATGTGACTCAGGTTGACTCTCTGAAGAGCAGTGTGCTGTTCCCAATGAAGGGAAAGAAACTTTTCTGGAAGTTAGCAGGAAGGGTTGCTAGGCTGACGCATATGCTGCAGAAGTGGGTCACAGCCCATAAGTTGTCTAGGGCTCTGGACCATAAAGTAAATCAGTACAAAGGAAGGAAAAAGATATTACATAATAGAGTAATGATATCAAATAAGTTTTAATGAGTCTGAATATGCTTTACGTTTTTATTTCCAAAAGCATAAAATTGCTAACCACATTAGAAACACTAAAAATAAGCTGAATTTAATGACCAATACTGCCTGACAAACAGCAGTGACTGGTAACAGTAAATATGACAGAGGACTGAAATAATAAAATCTCAGGAGTGTGAAATCTGTTGAGGTACTTTTCTTTGACTGTTGTAATCACCACTAATTGTGAAGAAATACCCTTTCCATAGTAAATGGAAGCCATTTATTTCGAAGTAGTAGGAATATTAAAAAAAGTGAATTTGTCTAAAGGAACTGATTTTGCAAGATTAGAATAGTATGTAGATTCAAAAATGTAAGTCTTTGCACTTACAATATAAGGAAAAAAAATTGGGTGCTACCTGGTATTTTCAACATAGTGGCATCTAATTAGCATGTTTTAATGAAACCAAAGGGCAAAAGAATTATGATATGAAGAGCATCATTTTGAATAATTTTAGTTTGCACTTTATCATAATTTCAGATTCTGCCCCATTTTCCTCAAATATAAAAGAGAACATGAATAATCTCTGACTAAAACTTGCAATCATCATCTGTACTTTTTGAATTATAAGAGATGCGCAAAAAATGCTCTCAATTAATTTCCATTTCAATCTATTTCCATTAAGGATTAGGAAAGCTGATGTCTTAAATTTTCTTTAAACTGCTTTCAAATTTTCAGTCTTCAGGACACTAGATAATTTTCTAAAATGCAAATATAAAGAGAAAAGCCACTCTGGAAAAACAAGCAACAAAATTAAAGAAAACCTACTGCATATTTTGCCATGATATTGTTATTAAAATGCTACGGTCTCCCTGATGTACTAAATAAAAAAAATCAATGTACTAGAGAAATAGGAAGATGAGTGGTTTTATTAAAAATACATAAAAATCAAATTTTCCAGTGGTAATACAGGCTCTAACTCAGATACTGAAGTACATGCCTGATTTTAAGCATGAGTAGTCTCACTGATTTTACTAAGAGCTTGTCTACGCAGTGGGGTAATGCTCTTTACGGGGTGTGATTTCTAAAGTGCACTAACATGTGCATTAATTGGTCTATGCAAACCCTGCTGGTGTGCATTAAAAGTTCCCTGGGGTGCTCTGTAGTGCTGTTTTAAACAGTACTACATTAAAGCCCTCTGGAGAACCTCTAGTGCGCACCAGCAGGGCTACATGGACCAATTAATGCATAACACATTAGCGTGCTTTAGAAAGTACGCCCCCTTCCCCCCCGCCCCCCCCCGTAGAGCACATAACCCCAATGTGTAGGCAAGCCCTAAGACTACTCGCATACTGAAAGTTAGACATATGCTTAAGTATCTTCCTGAATGGGAGCCATAAGATAGGAGCTTAATAAATTAGTTAGTAATTTATGATTCAATCATGCAAAATCAAAGGCCAGATTCTCAGCTGGCATAAGCCCCAGTGACTATGATGGAACTATACCAATTTATACCTGCTGTGGATTTGGGTCCAAGTTTTTATAGAAAAAAAACCCCACTGCCTGAAATTTGTAGTTAATGTTTGGATCTTTTCCCCTTGCTGCCCAAAAAACCTGTTTCACACCTGCAGCAAATGTGCAAATCAGGCCACTTTTCCCCATCTACATTTTCACAACAGAAAAAGATGCACAAATCTGTTAATTCTTGCAGTTTATTTTTGAAGATTGCAAGAGAAAAGTCAACGGTATCTGGCTGCTGCACTGAATTCATGTTTTGTTCTATATTGTACGCAAGAACCTCGGAAAATATGCAGCTCTTCTCTGTGGAATCCAACATGGCAAATTAGCTCACTTTTTGAATAAACATTTAAAAAAGTTAGCATAAGGGAAATCAATCCGAGTAAAGATTTTTTTGCAACCACAATAAAGCAAAATCTTAAATTTCATCCAAATGCCCTTATACATTGTTCTACATAGGACTACAGAACACATAGGGATCAAACACACACTGAAAGATGGACATTGGCCCAGACTGTCCACTGTGCCAGCTTTCCAGTTGGTGCAGCAAGTGGATTGGGGGAGGGGAGGAAATCTGCCTGCAGAAAGGGTGGGTAAATTGGCTCTCTGATTCATTACACAGATCTGCGTTGGTCACAGCTTTGGTGGAGTTTAGGTTTTGTAACCTATGACCCTCGTAACAGTTCTCAAGGGGTCATCTACCAGCTGGGACTGCTTGAGAGCACAGCATTCTAGCCAGACCCCTCCTGACCCATTATGCCAGGCGTCCCAGCTGAGGAGTCAATGTCTTCTCCCTGTGAGGCACACAAAGAGAGCTAAGCAAGAGCCAGGAGCTCTGACCTATTATTTTTAGGATGAGAGGGACAGTTGAGCATTAGTAAGATTTTACCAAATCCTTCAGCTTTCTGTAGACAGATTCCTCATTGATTCTTACTGTCTGCAGCATAGTATGGAGAACAGACCAGATTACAGACTAAAGTGTAACTGTAAAACAATATATGAATACTTACCTTCCAAGTGTTCTGTTGTAACCAGGCCTAATGCTACCATAAAGGCAATTTTCTAGGGAAAAATTAAGAAAGTTTAGTTTTGCATCCTATGATAACAACGGTAAAAAAAAATTCCAGCTTTGCCAGAATAAACTCTATTTAGGGATTTTAGAAAATTCTACTTTTTGAATAAATATATAACAATGTGAATTTAAACTGACGATCTGCTTCAGTTATATGTGAACAGACATATCCTACATGCATGATTACATGAGCCTTGGTAATACGCATAGATTTACCAAAATCCAATGATATAAACATAAGAATTTACAGGTGCAGTTGTCAGACTGACTCCAAATGAAATGTTTAGATTCATTTTGTTTTGATCAAAAGCATCAAAATGAAACATTTAGACATTTCCTAAGTGAAAATTCAAGTTTTCATTCTGTGAAAAATGTTGACATTTTGACTTTTTGTCCCTATTAGGGATGAAACCAAAGCTGAAATACCAGAATTTCCAGTGTGATGAGAATTCCGATTTTCAGATCTAGTAAATATTATCATCTTCATTTTACATATGAAGAAACTGCAACTGAGGAGGCACAAAGGGCAGAGTTGGGTGCCTATATCCTTTTTGTTCCTTTTAAAATCTTTATCAGAAAGGTGAAGTGATATGCCCAAGACCACACGGTGATGCAATGGCAGAGCTAGGATTGGAACTGGGGAACTCCTAACTGCCTATACTCCTATACTCATTCTGCCAGACCACATAGTCTGCTCAAGGTGCAGTGCCTGCCATAGATAAAAAATGGGTAAGTGGCATCTCAGCACTAGCAAGATGGATGATAGTTGGTATTCAATTGCCTCTTCAGCTACTGTGGTGATGATGGGCATATAACCAACTGACAGATTTGCATGACAAATCTTAACTCCAATAATCTGCACTCCCTACACATATGAAACACCAACTGGTATCAGTGGGGGGTCCTGCACATGAAGGAAAAGCAGAATATCTGATCTGAGATCCACTGTGTAGATCTGAGAGGGGAATTTTGTCAATAGATTTGAATTACAAGCAGCACCTGATGAGAGAAGTTGGGAGTTAACTTTACAGCATGATAAACCTTACCTTTAGTGATTTAATCGACTTTTTAATTTCAGGCTTAGAAATTTTGAACAGTCAATATTTGATTAAATTCTCATAGCAGAGCCACAAATGCATTCAGGCACAAATGCCTGAAAATTAAATTGTGAGGTGGGGCAAAGTGTCAATCTCTTGAATCTAAAATTAAATTGAGATTGGAACCCCTGCTAAATAATTATTACAAAAAGTATTTTAATAACATTTTCTAACAGTATTAATGATAGCATAGTTATTTAACATATGCACAGTATTCATTAAATGGACTCACTATTAAGGATAGAGGAGTTAGACCTTTATAGATGTCTGCAAGACAATTTCTTTTTTAAAAACCTTAGTACAAGCTGTATTTCTTTAACGGGTATTATTTATGTATTTTTATGGGCTTCACTTTTTCATAATGATGTGCTCCACTGAATTTCACTCAAAACACTACCTCCACTGCTATGCATTCTTCCAAAAATCTGAAGAGCTACAATGGAAAATTGCTAATTCTCACTGCACTAATCCATAAAAGTGATAATTCAGTCTATCCAGGTTCTCATTTCACACTCATCTCCATGGTATATCAGCCCCTTAAATGTGTTTAAAACTGAAGCATCAATCTCTCTGTTCCTTTCCTCTGTAGGTAGGAGGAGGAAACTGTTTTGACTGTAGTATTTTCTTTTAACTGTGCGGTAAAAAATAGCGCAAGAAAACTACACTGAGGAAATGAGTAAGAAATGAGCTTATTGAAAAACAACCACAGGAAATTGATTCTGCTAAAAATTTCAAAATTATGAAGATTTTCCCATTTTCCAGGATTCATTGTGAACATTTTTGGCAACATTTTCTGTGACTTCTAATTAAAATTTTAATTGAAATTATCAACTTTTTTCATTTACCGAGAACTGTGTATTCAGCAGCCAAAATTTTTCCATATAGTTTTAATAAAATCTTAATTTTTGTATTAAAATGTTGCTAAAAATGTCATGGAAAACTGCCAAAAATGGAAAATTTCACTGTCAGCAAGTTTTTGCAAAAACTTTTGTTTTCTTAAAGAGGACATTTTTTAATGAAAAAAACTTTTAGTGCAAATTTTTTTTGACAAGCTCTATACATCAGTTTTACATTTAGGCCCCAATTCAGAAAGGTATTTAACAGCGTGCATTACTTTAAGCATTTCAGTGGCAACTCAAGCAGTCAGCAATGCCAAAATATACACATGCTTAAGTATTTTGCTGAATCAGGGACCTAGATCTGGTAATATTGTGATCCGTTTTTGCAACTCACATCTCTTTAAAACAAACCAATTTTCTCCCCAACTTATCAGCAAAAATTGAGTGGGTACTTCCTTAAAGAGGAAGCATAGCTCAGTAGTTAGGACACAAGCCTTGGTTTGGGAGATCCAGGTGCAATTCCTTTGGGCAAAGCACTTAAGGCCAGATTTTTAAAGGTACATAGATGCTTAAAAATGCAGATGTTCAAAAATAGATTGAAAATCAATGCAAGTTAGGCCCCACCTGCTTTTGAAAATCCCACTATGTGCCTATCTGCATCTTCAAGCACCTCCATACTTTTTAAAGTCTCTGATCCCCATCTGTAGAACAGAAACAATATTATTTCTCCAATTCACAGGGGTGTTGTGAGGCTAAATACATTAAAGAACGTGAGGTGCTCAGATACTGCAGTAATGGGAGCTAGCTAAGTAACCTGAGATAGAAGGCTTCATTACTTTTACCAAGTGTACTACTGTACATTTAACAGTATGCTATGAAATCTTATCATAATTAAAACTACATTTATAAAAATCCATTAAAGTACAATATCTTTTTTTTAACAGAGTTTGTTCACTTATTTGTAACACTGAGCAATCCACAATGGGGTTCTTGGCCATTAGCAAGAATTAGCAAGGTCCTACTGTATTTGCTATATTTTTAATTGTGAATTCCAATCTTTCATCACTGACATTTATTTACAGAATTTCTATCAAAGTTTCTATTTATGTTTTGTGCTTTTAAGGTAAATAAAGGAGCAAGTGCTTACATTGTGCATATATAATGCATGTGTTAAATAATCCTACCTTCTGTACTCTGTACCACCAGATATTGACATGTGCTTTTGGAAATGTGCAGTACATCTTTCCACATGGCTTTGTAAAAATCCTTATTAAACTATTTCATGTTGTAATTACATGTTCATTTATGTCATTACACGTGTTTACACTAATTATGCAGTTAGTACTAATTACACTAATTACATAAATGCATGATAATCAACTAAAGTTTACTTTCAAAGAACAAAAGAAATTAACTCTAAACCTACACTCTGAGCCTTATGCTGTGAGACATATCAATAAAATAAAGGAAATTCACAGTTAAGCCTCTACTGCCCTACACTGAAAAGTGTGGTTGAAGGTGCTTCCTACTTTGCTGGTGATGATATCCTTGTCTAAATAAACAAAGGGGTCAAAGGCCAACATGCTCACAGACCAGGATACTAATTTAACAGGAAGCTCACTAAGGCCATGTCTACGCTAGTGCTTATGTGAGCAAAACTTTTGTTGCTTGGGGGTGAGCGACATAAGTTTTGCTGGCATAAGCGCTCGTGTGCACAGCTCCTCCGCCCCTCACTCCTTCCCTATGGCAGTGTCCTCTTTTTGGGAACCTGAAATATGGTAACCCTACAGCTGCTAGTGACCACTATATTTTGTCTGCTTCACAGTTTCTTCAGATTCTTGCAACGTTTTTAGAAGCTCTAGCACCTCCATTGTTTCCAGCAGGCCCTTGAAATCTGGAGGGAGAAAGCCTTGTAGCTAGAGAGCCTTTTCTTTGTCTCATGACATTCTTTTCAGCTTTGGCGGAATTATAAACTATTGAAAAAATTACCATTTCCTTTCTTTTACTTGCTTTCCTCAGAGAAATTTGGGCAGCTTGCCAAAATAATAATTGACTATGAACATTTTGAAGAGTCAGACCTGTGCCCATGCAGAAGCACCACTTAATTGCTGCTAGAATGCCTGAGAGCTGCCAGAGCAGTGGGGTAGGAGGAACGAACAAGGCTCTATTCTCTTTCCTACTACACTAATCCTGGCACATGGCCCACACCTCCTATCTTATCTCTCTCTGGGAGTACCACATGAGGTGAGAGACACCCCAATTTCCAAGGGGGAGAGTCAGGGAAAGCTGGGGCAGATCCCCTGGTAGAGTGCCTAGATTCAGCAGCTAATCCCACTCTCCAGGGGCATCACATGGAGCAGGAGCCAAAAGAGTGCTGGGCTGGGCTTCCCCCAGCCATCCCATTGACCCAATATATGGTGCCATCCTCCCTCCTCTAGAAGAACAGCCTTCTCCTGCTGCTAGCTGATGTAGTTAGTCCTGTAGTTTAAATAGTAGCGATCTGTATTGCAATACTGAAGGTTCAAACTCTGATGATGATGCATGATGCAGATAACAGAATTTGATTTTGACCTTTTTCCTTTAAAGAAAACCTAGGTGATTATCTACAAAAATTACTGTTACAGAGGTTGCAAAACGAACCACTTGAAAGTCAAAGAATGCCAGATTTATGGTTGTCCACATGGATTCCACTCTTGGTGACTAAAACAGTTGTACATTTGCTTAGAGATAGGTACAAGGAGTGCTACTTAAAGATTACAGCACAGCCCTACCAAAGCAGGCATTGGATCTGGAAGCCTCTTCCAAAGAGCAGTGTCTTTTAAATTAAGTGTGGACCACGCTCTATTTAGCTGCCCTACAAACTTCAGAAATATGGGCAATCTTTAAACAGGCTGGAATGTGCTCTAATGTGGCTGGATCTAACTTGGTTAACACATAATATGTCCTCATACAGTTGGAGTCCCACTTAGATAATCTGAGAGGCTACAGTTTGACCCTTAATCCTCTCTGCAAAGGCCACAAACAGTCTAGATGTGTTTCTGAATTACTTTGTCCTGTCAGTTTATAGCCCTTACTATATCAAGTGTAACAAGGAGTCTGGTGTGTGAAGTATATCAAGTGGGTGAAGTTTAGCTTTTGCTGAGGTAGAATGAGGCCTGAGGAAGAAAACAGGAAGATGAATAAATGGTTCATATGGAACATCTGAAACGTCTTTGGTCAGAATTACCCATAAAGCTGATTTAATGGCCACTAAAAGGCACTCTTCATAGATAAGTGGCAAGGTTGCCAAGGGGGGACCCATCACTTTGCTTGAGGTCCTAAGAGGAGGTAAAAAATGAATAAAGGCCCTTAAGGAAAATATATTTATGACATTGATAGGAGTGTGATGTGCTGATATTGCTGCTAGAGCTGACTGAAAGTCCAGATTGTTTCAGGGCTAGTAGATGATCCAGTATTGCTGATATAAGTTATGTCAAGGGGAAAAAACAAATATTGAGATGCCCAAATAGAAATCTTCTTCCATTTAGTTCTTCCAAGTCAGTCTTGTTGACTGTTTATAACTTTGGAGCAGAATATTGTGAAGTTCAGTTGAACAAATTCTTTCAGGAGACATCATCAAGGCAGCATCCAGGCTGTCAGACATAACAAAGCTGGGTCCAGGTGAAGGATCTGACCATTGTTCTGCTGGGCAGAGCAGGTAAGGTGATGAGGTGAGAGAGCTCTGTTGAGAGGTTCATCAGATCCAAATACCAGAACTGCTGGGTCCATTCTTGGGCTATCAAAATCATCAGTCTTGCATCTTGCTTCAGAACCCTCATTATCATGGGATTGGTGGAAAGGCATACATTCATCTCGGTGACCAATGGATGAGAAAAGTGTTTGTCAGGGAGCCTAGGCTCAAACCCCCTTTGGAACAAAATGTCTGCCACAGTAAACAAGAAATGTCAGATAGGTCTATTTCTGGAAATCCTCACTTGTGAAAGGTGTTCTGCAGGACTGAGCCTACGATAGGCCATTCGTGGTTGTCTGAGAACTACCTGTTAGGTTGATCTGCCAAAGTGTTCTGAAGGTCAAGAAGGTGCAGAGCCAATGGTGCACAGATGATCTTGCTCCCTCTTGCCAGAACACATAGCTGTGGTGTTATCTGTCAACACTTGGACTGTGAATCCCTAGACTAGTGGTAAGAACTTTGCATGCTGGGCAAATGGCTCTGAGCTCTGGGACATATACTCCAGCTGGTGCTTGGGGCGGCAGCTTGTAGGAGGCGGCATTCCGCCCAATCCTAGGGCGGCACGGCCGCTTTTGTTGTTGTTGTTCCGCTCCGGCCGCCTTGTAGGGGGCAGCGGCGTGGAGGACGGGAGCGCCCTGCAGCAAGCCCGGCAGGGCAGCCCGCGTCCTTCCCTCCCAGCTGACCGGAGCGGTGCGGAGCCCTCCCGGCAAGGGGCCGCGTGGCAGCGCCCTGCTGAAGCCCTGGCCGCCCCCCTTCTCTCTCTCCCCCCGCTCCCTTCCCCTCCCCCCGCTAGCCGGGGCACATCTGCAGGGCAGGGAGTCCCCCTGGACCCTGGATCTGGCCGCGCCGCAGGTTTTGGTTTTTTTTGCTTTGCTGTTCTGGCCGCCGTGGGTTTTTTTTTTTTTTTTTGCTTGGGGCGGCCAGAAAGCCAGAGCTGGCCCTGTTTGTGGGCACAAATGCAGTAATTTTGCATGTACCCTGAAAGCCCTTTAGAAATGGTCCCATATAAATGAACAGTATTATATCTCATTTATGAAGAACCAGACAAATTTTATTGGTTTTATCACCTCTGGATTTTCCTCCTTTTTCTTTTTGGTAGCAGGGGGTCCCTGAGGTGACTCTTCAGGAGGTTTCTTTGTTTCCACTTTATTTTCTGTCTGGGTCTGGACTTGAGGCTGAATGATGATAACCTGCAAAATAAAGAACAAATAAAGAGAGCAGAGTTCACTATACAAAACAGATTTCCCAGCTTTGGACCTGACCTCGATCCTTCATTGAAGGGCGGTGTCAAGCACCTGCTAAACAAACAATAAATAAAAGTCACAGGCCAAAATTTTCAAACCTGGATGATAAACATTAGCATCCTAAATCTATATTTGGTTTCCTAAAGAGAAGTAGCCTGGTTTTCACAGGAGCTCAGACACTCCACCTCCTTATGGAAGTCAAAGGGAGCTGCAAGTGCCTCCATCTCTGATAATCAGGCCACTTCTATTTAGGTATCTGACACTGATTCAGGGACCTAACTTTAGGGATCCACGTTTGAAAGTGCTGAAAGGCTTTACGTTCATTTATTTATTTTATTTTATTCCAGATACAAGCAAGAAAGATGTAAATGCTATACACTCAGGCCTACATTCTGATCCTAGTTATACAGAGGTAAGTCTTGAGTAACTCTGTTGACATCAACAAAGTTACTCCAGATCTGCACTGGAGTAACTGAGATCAGAATCCTAAAAAGTACGTTTTATGGTAGGTTTCCAATTTGTCTAAAAATACAGTAAAATGTACATCCGTTCTGAACTACAATTCATTCTTGTACAGCACCATTCACAAAGAAAGCGTTACACAGCCCTTCACAGTACTTACATGTGTGTGTTAGTTAACACACTGAACCACTGACATTCTGAGAATCAAAAAAGCAGACTTATACTTTGCAGATTCAGTATCTCAGACTCCATTAAAAAACACTGAGGAAAAAATTACTGACCACAAAACTATCCATGTGACTTTATATTATTAACAAAAATTTCCTAGGGATTATGAGAGACCTTCCCAAGATCATCTTTCTGATGATGTTTATTGGATTTGAACACTGGGTTTTTTAAATCTATTTTATTCCTAACTTTTATCAATATTACTCAGTCATCATACATCCGATCTCCAGGTACTCATTTTTAAAAATTCAAGTGCTTATGCAGGGAAGATTTTTTTTTTATTGGTAACCAGATTATAGGAATAGGAAAATAAATTATGTTAGCTAGAGAATCACACCAAAGATGCCTACTTTGCTTATTTACTTAAAAGTCATCCTATCTTCTGTGCTCTTTCCTGTCAGCGTATTAGACCTTGTCTTGCCAACAAGTTCCAAAGTAACGGGACCCTGGGTATCTGAATTACACTGAATGTCTTTTGGATATGCCAGTCTTCGTTCAGATAGAATCTGGTGTCACAGATGCACAATTCTTGCGTTTCAAAGCTTAGCAGCTGTTCAAAAAGTAAACAGGTATTTCATAACTGGATTTTTTTCTAGGAGTTCAGCTGCTGATCAGTTATGAAATCCTGAACTCTCATCTCTTATGGACTTCTCCCAGAATTGCAGAAGAGAACACCTGGCTACTTTATATAGCCCAGCGGAGAGCTACATTGGAAAAGACTACAGAATTGGGTTCTATAATTAACATTATTCTTCTATAATTGAAGGGAAAGTCAATAGGAAATTTGTGTCTGCTGAGAGTTTGGGAGTTTCATTAATTATGATTGGATTGAGAGGAAGGATGATCAAATGGTTCCAAAAATGCCAGGCTACACAATGATCCACTTACTTTCCCAGACAACCAGAAAAAAATGTAGGTACACTAATAAGCATCTAGTATCTTTCATGTGTCCCCCTTAAGACTTTTCTCACTGCTTTCTGATTATTCACTTCAAAAGGAACAGTTGACATCACTCTATAAAGGGCTTTCCAAACTACTGGGAATATATTGCCTACACCTGCAATATAATTGTTGATCTTGATGTAAAGATGCACTGCAATTGCAAAACCTACCTTGCTGTCGGCACTAATGAGGAGTGGTTGCACTTTAATGCTATCGTTGACCACAGAGACGGTAGCGCTCGTGCTGATAGGAGTTGCATTGTTGGGGGAGGTGGATATAATAGCATAGGCCACACCTGCACTGCTCAGAGGTGATGAGATAGATGTAGACTCGGCCACACTTTGTGACTGGCTGTTAGGCGTCTGTACATGGCTGACAGTATTATTGGCGGTGGGGAGGGCAGGGCTAGGGTTTTTGATGCTCACTACTGTTGCCTTTTGGAAAGTAGGAGGCTGTTTGGAAGGTTGGTCTCTGCATGGGGAAATAGGAAGGCTGTCTGGAATCAGGGTCTTTGGCCTAACCTATAAATAGAGAATTAGAAATTATTAGACATAACCTAACATAGTAACAAATAAATCATATAAACACACTCTACCAACAGCACTTCACATTGCATTAGCAATGTAGCAGGGTGTCTAAAAATACTACATAGCACTTCCAAGTAGAAAGTGATTCATTTATTTGTAGATGTATTCCAAATTCTGCCTGGCTGAGTCATTTCCCAGTCCTTAACTCATTGCAACACTGAATAAAAGGACAAAAGTAAATTCCTTACTTTTATTAGCAGATATCCATACAAATGCTACTCAAGTCACACTCTGTTTACAGTAGGCCAAAGGCTTTTCAAAGGCATGGAAATTCCAGAATGACATAATTTCTTGTGCTGAAAGAAACTATATTCTTGCTATGAATTAAAGGGTGGGAACTGAATCATTAAGGGAGTTCTGGGAATGCATCTACAGGAACAGTAAATGAAATCTGAGCATGTCATATTGTGGTAGAATAGTAAATGAAGATCTTTACTTATGTTTCAAAGGTGCACAGTTTCTAACAGTGTGAAGATTGCTCTTTTAGTTTCACAAAACAAAAACTGAACTTAATATTTTACAATTATGAGTAAAGGGCTAATTTGAGGCTGGAATTGAGGAGGATTGCAGTGGAGGCTCGTCTAAAGGAAGGGAAAAAAGAATCTGACAAAGTTTGTGAAGAAGGCGCAGCCCATACTCTACAAAGGAGACTAGGAATGAAGGTCTCAGAAGACTATGTTCAGCTAATGCTGCTTCCATTGGTAAAATTAATGCAATCCTGTCAACATGACTCATACTTAACAATGTGTTGTTAAGTATGGGTTCAAAATATAAATAATTTAAACTGCTATGCAGGAAGTTAACTTTACCCTTAACTCATTAATTAACATGGCCATATAAAACACACGGGGATCTGACTGTTTATTTTGTCAGTCACTGCTTGCACCTTCCATACCGTGAAACAAAAAATGATATTTCATAACGGACATATATTGGACACAGCTGTTTGTGTCACTATACCTTAGCTTACAAGAGGCATTCCAATGATATTATCTTCAGTCTTGAGTTTAAAAGAACAGTTAAATGAAAATGTCCTGATTTACTGGAACACCCTGCATGATCTTTCAGGACATCCTTCTGTAGGTTTCAAGCAGGAGGGCATACCCAATGCTCTTTGCAGAAGATATTAGGAGTGCCCACAAGGCCCCATGCAGTCATATATTTTGCTTATGCTCATTAATAATTTGTATTATGGTAGAGCTTAGATGCTTCAATTGTGATCAGGACCTCAGGACCTATTCACTGTACATAGTGCTGTGAACACCTTACAATCTAAATAGGCAAGACAAACACAAGGTAGGAGGGGAAACAGAGCCACAGAGAGATGAAGTGACTTGCCCAAGGTCACTCAGCAGGTCAGTGGCAGAGCCAGGAACAGACTCCCTGTCCAGTGCCCCATCCATTAGGTACTCATATTATTTCTTATGTGCCAAATATGACATCAAATCAATTTTTATGATTATCCGTTACTGAACACTTTTATTTAGTTATGTAATTGGGCATAAATCTTCCCTGAGCCTTGTCTCTGTCTTCTATGGTTTATATAATTTGACATCTTCAGATGAAAGAATTTAGACAAGTCCAAAGGCCAAGATTTTCAAAAATACAAGCCTTACAGTTAAGGTCCTAACTCCATGTACTGGCAGAGGTGCTGAACTGTTGGCTGACCAACACTTTTGAAAGTCAGGCAGTTGCCTATATATATGGACTTAGGAATCTACCGGTAAACTCCTATTTTAAAACATCTTGGTCTATGTGTTTTGCAAATTGGGCCCCACAACACTGACAACAACGTTATAAGGTAGATATTATCCCCATTCTATCAATGGGGGAAACTGAGGCACAAACTCTGACAGAGGCTGTTATATAACCCAGATCTCCTGGTTATCCTCCTATGTTTTCACCACAAGATTATGCCTTTTCTTTCCTGTGTTATGTCCTGTGTAGATCAATGATTGGATACTCATGTGTCATGGCAGAGTAACAGTTATAGAAATATAATTATGCAAGAAACTAACACTCATGAAACTTTGCTGTTGAGAAACTGAGCACTCAAAAGAATTTCAGTTATAGCTGAAAAAATTCAACTTTAACTCTGACCCATTGGTCTAATATCTGAGGATTATGACCTCACTTTGAATCATCAGAAAATTGTTTTGTCAATGAATACAATACATATTAGAAAATGGAAATATCTACAGCGAGACATAGTACAGACTTCAGATTTGGCTTGTGTAAATCTTATTGAGATTTATAAAACAAATCAAGTTGGAAGAAAACCAGCTCAGTAGTTTTATTTACTCAAAATTGTCATTTCATTTACTAATATCTGAAATGTCTGTTGTTTCTGCCATTTTAAATTGCATTTTATATATCTGTTACTGTATCTTAATCAAAAATCTAATAAAAACTAAATATAAAAATGGCAATAGAATAACCAATGTATATATTATGAAGGGGAATACTTAATATCACATAGTATCCACAGTACAATATATGTATTATACACTTTGTGTTCAAAATTTACAAATCTATATCACTTTGCTACATAACAAAACCTCTCTGCACAAATAACTAAAAGAAATGAATTTTCCAAAGAAAAATATTCCCTATATGGTTCACCATGTTGAAATATCTCTATTATTCCACAAGACTAAGGTTAAGTATACACTGGACATTTTCTGCCACCTTGTGATAAAGTAGCGGTACTGCATGGTCTTCATAATCACCGACCCCTGCATATTCCTAGACAAGATTATTTAATGCTGTGAAAGTGTATTTATTTATTTTAATTTCTACAATAATAAAAAGGCGGCCTATGCAAAAGCTCTGGGCATCCCTGGCACCAGTGCAAAACCAACATAAAATTAAACAGCTACTCAATCCAACAGGCAATAGGACACAACCCTCTACAGAACTCCACACACAAAACTCCTTTTGCCCTACACTGCTCTGAGCCCCCATCAAACTCCACCCTTTGAATCTAACCCCCTAAGTAAAAGCACTACTCAACAGCTATACTAAAGGATTAAAAGATTTCTATTAAACTTCCACATAAAAACAAACTGCTACTGTATTATTGTAAAACTACCACTGTCAATCAGTAAGAAAAAAAGTGGAGAACAAGACTAGTGTAAATTCCTTGGCAACCCTGAAAAATTGCTGTTTAAATTTTGGCGATGGAAGTCAGAACAATTAAGTAATCAGAGCAGCAATATTCTGGAGGGTACAACGTTTTTATGGCAACTGACAGTCAACAAAGTGGGAATTGGAAGAAGACAGAGGTGGGGGGTAAGGAATATGTTGCTAAACACATGGACTGTTTCAAAAATATATTTACTGCTGAACATTATCACAGACTGGATGGCACCTTATACATACTACAGGAGGCATCACAGGTAAGGAGCCAAGAAGTTTAGAAAAGGAGAGAAAAAAAGAATAACAAATAGAACGGATGTTGTGAAGAGAACAGTTGCAACTAGTGAACACAATGCAATTAGTGTTTTTCCAAGAAAAACATTGTTCATTTAATACGTGACAGCTGTCAAAACATTGTGTGCGACTACCAGTACTGGGACCATATAGGAGAAGAGATGCACCTTTTCTTGTGTATAATGATTTCAAATACCTACGTTGTTAGTGAATTTATGTGGTGCCACAATAATAGAAATGCTTGATGTTAGCTGGTAGTATTCACGTATCCAAGGTATCTGTCACACTACGTGGCAGGAGAGTGTACTTTTCAAGCAGATGTTCCCAGACATGAGAATTCAGTATGTGGCTGTCTGCTTTTCATGCAATAACAGGAGGTCTGATCCTGTAAGATCCTCTGCACCTCCTGCGAATTGCCAATTCAACTCCCACTGATCTCAAACGGAATTGATGGTGCTCAGCTTCATATCAGGCTGCTTTTGGGGGTTATTCACACTTTATTTTCACTTTACCTTTGCACGCAGCTTAAAAACAAAGACTCAAAATGGACTTAGCAAAATTCACATGTCAGAGAGGCAAAGTGCTTGTAGCAGAGGACAGAGCTCTTCAATTCTTAAAGAGCTGTAGAGGATAACACTCCCCCCCAAAACATTAGCAATGGATGATAAAAATTAATGTAATATGGCCTAATCATATCCTTATCTGGTGAAAAGGGATACAATTTTATCAACTTCAGTGGTGCTGCAATTTATTGACACCAGCTAATGATCTGGCTCCATTTTTTTTTTTTAAGTCAATAGCGCTACATTCAGAAGTTTCACACGAGGAAGGTTCTGCATGAATTTACAAGAGCCTGGCATGCACTAAAATCAGGGTTTCCCCAAAAGCTTGAAATCTTAGTGTCCTCACCACACTGGTTTTTATACACAAGCATTTCCTTCCCTGAAAGCCTCCTCGAAATCTTTAGCTTGGTCTAAGATGACAGCAAAATAAACAATCTGATCAGCATTCCGTAACTTAAAGTTTATTTTTCAGTCACACATGTAAGTGCATGTGACCACTGAACCAAACATATTTTTTTCCTTTCTGGTGGTGTTACAGGGAAGAGCAGTTATTCTGCATGCCTCACGGGACAATGAAAAACCCCTCAGTTTAGTGACTGTTCATTCCCAATATGGAGGTGACCTATTTTCTTGCTAGAAGGCTGGTGGGACTCTCCTTAGAGTCCATCAATGCCACTGATGATGCATTGGCTGCAGAGGTCACTGAAGAACAATATCAAGTGCCCCACTCTACCTCACGAAGGGGCGAGCACTCTCTCTCTCCCATGCTACCACTCCAATCCAATTTGGGGAGTGGTTCAACATTGTGGATTGTATTACCATATGGGTTTGATTTCCCATTTTGCTACTAACTAATAACTTTCCTGTAGTGAAAAGGGATACTGAGACGATACTTCTGTTCATTTTCTAAGGCAGAACTATTTGATTTAGTTTTCCTTC